TCTTACAGCTTATTATATACTTGGAGTAATCAAGAGCATACAGTACCAGGGCAACCCAATTTCTGGAACCCCTCCCTTCCTGGGAACTCCGTTTTTCCTTCTCTCTCCATTAATAAACTCCCCACTTTGCTGTACCTACTCTTCTGAGTTCGCCAACTCTTAATTCTTTTTTTTTTTTTTTGAGAGATTTTCACTGTAGGGCGCGTGCGCTCGCCAGACAGACAGAGACAGACATAGAGACAGAAAGCGAGAAATCACCCCCCAAGGGGGATGGTCACGCCGCAATCCCTTCTCCTCCATTCTCCTCTCAGGATCTTGGGCACGCACGCACACACGCCCGGCGTGAGTTTTAAGCCACCGGGTCCAGGACACGAACCGCAGTCAACTACGTGGGAGTCCAGCGACATAGCCATTATGCTAACTGCTGGTTCCCAACCAACTCTTAATTCTTAAGCGTGGGACAAGAACCCGTGTCTGACTTCGCGTGTAGGCCGGATCAGCACTGTGCCCCCATGTTCCTGCATCATATTTTGGTGCACTGGCCAGGAAACATTTATACTCTCCTTCTTAAGGTCAGAATGGATTCAGTGGTACCAATTTAAAGGCTATTTTCTTTTCAAATTGGAGAAAGTGATGGATGATTTTAAAACTTAAGCTCCCTAACCAAGAGGTCCTCCCCATCCTAATGTCAAATATATTCCCTTTGATGAAATGAAGGAAAAGAATACTGAAAATTGTCACTGGATTTAATGGTATCCCTTTTACTACATAGAGACTGTGTGAAATGCTAACAGATCCAAGGAGAAACTATAGAGGAACAGACAAATTACTCAGAGGAGTAGAAAAGAATGTGATGGTTGTTAGCAGTGTCTATCCTTCTTCAGAGAAAAATAGTTCCAATAGCTTAAATCAAATGAATGGTGGTGTTTCCTGAAAATTCACCAAGCTATAATGACAGGTCTAATATAATAGGGGCCTGGAACACCCAGGCCACTTAATCAACCAAAGGTTTCTTTGTCAGTCCCCATGACAACTAATGGTTTGCCTGAGAGCACAGACAGCAAAGAACCCAACTTACAGTAGAATGAAGGGAAAAATAAGTGACTCTCCAGCATCTGAATCAGAGGTTTCCTCAGTGAGCCCTATGAAAAATAAACATCCAGGGACCAGCAGTTAGCATAATGGCTATGTCGCTGGACTCCCATGTAGCCGACTGCAGTTTGAGTCCTGGACCCGGTGGCTTAAACTCACGCCAGGTGCATGTGCATGCGTGCCCAAGATTCTGAGAGGAGAATGGAGAAGAAGGGATTGAGGTGTGGCCATCCCGGGGTGGGGTGTGTGTGTGTGTGTGTGTGTGTGTGTGTGTGTGTGATTTCTCACCTTCTGTCTCTCTGTCTCTTTGTCTTTCTGGTGAGCGCGAGGCCCACGGGCCCAAAAGAAAAAACCCCAAAAAAAAAAAAAAAAAAAAAGAAAGAAAGAAAGAAAGAAAAATGAACATCAAGAAGAAGCTGCTGTGGAAGCTGAGGGGCATGAGGTAAAAAGACTCAGGTTTGACGAAGAAGGTGAAGTCAGAGAGACAGCCAAACAACTTCCAGTGAAATTTCTTCTGTTAGTGAGAAGAAACAGAAGCATCTTTTTTTCTCTCAGGACAAACACAAAGAAAGTAGTTGTGCCAGGCAGCACTGTACAGAAAGGGATGAAGAGGAAGAAGAGTCCTTTATGACATCGAGACGTGCCCAGAAAGAAAAAGTCAAGAAAAAGAATCTGATGATGCCTTAACTGTGAATGAAGAGACTTCTAAGGAGAATAATCAAATGGAGGAATCTGATCTGTCTCAAGCTGAGAAAGATTTAGATTCTACCAGTAGAAAAAATGCAGGTCCTGTAAGAAGTGGTTCTGACTGCCATGAAACAGAAGAATTAGTGGGATCCAACTCCAATAAAACAGGAGAGGTTATATCAGAATCATCCATAGATAATAACGAGGAAGCCACAGAAGTCACAGATGAACCAATGGAACAAGAATAACAATTGAGGAACATTTAGATGCAATATTTTACATAGTTTGGGTTTTACGCTGTATAAAAACTTTTATGTAATAAAGTGGACCTTTAGTTTTACAAGAGAAGCAGGTTGAAAGATAAAGAACTTTATGGATAAATCCTAAAAGAGTTGTACATGTAAGAACTGTGAATATCAACTCCTCTAGGTCCTGCTTACTGCTTTTTTCATTGTCTTTTCTCGTTTTCTCGTTGGGCCTCTGGTCAAATCAGTGGTTTGTGTATAGAAGTTTTTTTCTTTTTTGAGAGGTTTTTGCTATAGGGCGTGTGTGCTCTCCAGAAAGACAGAGAGAGACAGAAAATGAGAAATCAACCCCCGGGGGGATGGCCACGCCACAATCCCTTCTCCTCCACTCTCCTCTCGGGATCTTGGGCATGCAGGCACATCCGCCCAGCATGAGTTTAAGCCACTGGGTCCAGGACTCAAACCATGGTCGACTACATGGGAGTCCAGCGACATAGCCATTACACCAACTGCTGGTCCCAGATTCTTTTTTTTCAATTTAGATCTAAAATGTTTGGAAGGTAATTATAATTTTGAAAAAGCTTTTCAAGAGTATCACACTTAGTTTTTACATATGCAAGAAAGCTTTCTGTCACGTCTCTGATAGCTCTTGCAGTTTTCATATTTCGTCATGTGAATTATAGGGTTTCATGCTGGCACACACACATACACATATACATACATATATATGTATACATTAGATTATTCTAAGAGGGAAAATGTTGTTTTTCTGTTTCTACAAAAGATGAATACAGTCAGGAACCAGCAGTTAGCATAATGGCTATGTCGCTGGACTCCCACGTAGTCGACCGCGGTTCGTGTCCCGGACCCGGTGGCTTAAAACTCAGGCCGGGCGCGTGTGCGTGCGTGCCCAAGATCCCGAGAGGAGAATGGAGGAGAAGGGATTGCGGCGTGACCATCCCCCCTGGGGGGTGATTTCTCGCTTTCTGTCTCTATGTCGCTCTCTGTCTGTCTGGCGAGCGCACGCGCCCTACAGTGAAAATCTCTCAAAAAAAAAAAAAAAGATGAATACAGTGAATATTTTTGCTACTGGTAATGATTGAGTTCATCTCTTTCTCTTCTGAGTAATTTAAATTAAATCTAGCCCTTGTAAAACCCTGGAAATCTTAAGTCTGTTGAATTACCAGGTTAAACACATTCCAAGAGATCTATTCTAACTAAAATTCTTTTGTATACTTGAGGTGCCTGAGAAAAAGACTTCATTATCTACAAGAAAATGTGCTTTATCTTGGAAATTGTGTTCAAACATTAGCTTACCGTTTTGTAGAAAGAATGCTTATGTAGCTGACATGAGACCATCTCAGAAGAACCAGGTAGGTTCCTTACCTTTTGCTTGCTTTTCTGAACATTGTGAATATTACACATTTCCTTCTAAATTATTCTTGAGTATGCAGATATCATTGGTATGAAATACCACTGTACTGGAAGAATTAATATATTCCTTTAGTAATGTACCTGAGTTAAATAACTGACACTTGAGGGATGCATAGAAAGCACCATAATTTGTAAGACATTTTGAAGTGAATTAAATACTTTTGAACATGCTTCTTCGACAGCCAGTGTTATATGTTTCAGATCAATACAAAGCATGATGCTGATGATTACTCTAAACCCATTATTTTCAAATACACATATTTACAGTCATGCAAGCTGCAACTTCCCTGTCAAAATTACTGGCTGCCAAATTTATAGCTGTTTCTTCAGCTGTACCTTTTGATATTTAGAATTTTTTAATTTCTGTAAAGTAGATTTTGTAGAATATAATGTGTTCACTGCCTTTGTGAAGCAGTATATAATTGTATAAATTCTGTGTGTAAACTGAATGCTTGGGCTGTCAATACAATATTCATATAAAGCAATAAATATTAATGTGGGGGGGAGAACATATAGTACCAGGAGAGGGATAATCAACAGAACAGAGAACCCAGAAAGAGAGCTATACAAATATGCACACTTAATTTTTGACAAGAGGTGAAAAAGTAATTCAATAAAGAAAGGATAACTTTTTTTTTTTTGTAAAGAGAGATTTTTGCTGTAGGGCAGTCACGCTTGCTGGAGAGAGACATTAAGCGAGAAATCACTCCCCAGGGGAATGGCCATGCCATGATCCTTTCTTCTCCATTCTCCTCTCAGAATCTTGGCATACATGTGCCCCACATGAGTTTTAAGCTGCTGGGTCTGGGATTGGAACCACAGTTGACATAACCATTATGCCATCTGTTTGTTCCAAAGGAAGGATAACTTTTTAAGTAAATGATCTGAAGCAATTGGACATTCACAGACAAAAATAAAAACAAAACCTTAATTTAAATCTCATATCTTCTGCGAAACGGACCGCAGACATAAACAGAAAACTATAAAATTTCTAAAAAGGATAATTTGAAAAATCTTCAAGACTAGAGTTGACACCCCCACATACACACAAACATACACACACACCACAATTCATAGGAAAATAGAAGATAAGTTAGGCCTCATCAAAATTCAAAACTTGGGGCCAGCAGGTGGTGTGGTGGTTAAAGCAAACACTGGACTCCTACATGGCTGACCGCAGTTTGAGGGTTTTTATTTTTTTTAATTATTATTTATTTTAATTGTATTTGTTGTTGTTATTATTTATTTTTAATTTGACCAGGGAGAGAGAAAGAAAATGTGAGAAAGCAACCTGGCAGGTCTGGGGCTCGAACAGCGGTCAGCCATGTGGGAGTCCAGTGTCCCAAACACCACACCACAGGCCTGCCCGGTGTGAGTTTTTTTTGTTTTGTTTGCTTTGTTTCTTTTTTTTTTTGGAGAAGTTTTTGCCATAGGGCACATGCCCTCGCCAGACAGACAGAGACAGAGAGATAGAAAGCAAGAAATCACCCCCCAGGGGGGATGGCCATGCCGCAATCCCTTCTCCTCCATTCTCCTCTTGGGATCTTGGGCACACACACACATGCGCCCGGCGTGAATTTTAAGCCACCGGGTCTGGGACACGAACTGTGGTCGACTATGTGGGAGTTCAGCAACATAGCCATTACGCTAACTGCTGGTCCCCCTGGTGTGAGTTTTAAGCCACCAGGTCTGAGACTTGAACCATGGTCGACTACATGAGAGTCCAGCGACATAACCGTTATGCCATCTGCTGGTCCCAACTTTTCAATTTCTAATCAATCCTAATTTTGTGGGGTGTTTTTTTTTTTGTTTGTTTTTTGTTTTAAGTCTCACTATGTCACTATCCTCTTGGCTCAGCCTCCCAGGTAGGACTACAAGTGCACACCACTCTGCCTGGCTCTCTTAGAAAAAGATTCTCACCATGTTGACCCGGCCAGCCTTGAGCTTGCACTCCTTTGGCCTTCGTCTCGCAGCTGGGATTAAAGGTGTATACCCACATCCAGCCTTTAAGTTGGTACAGGAAGCAAACCCAGGCCTCCCATTTGGTCTCAGCCTGAGAAGCACAGCATCTTAGCAATGTGCACTATCATTTTTTTCCTAAGTGTTCTGTTAAAATATTTAATTATATATTCTTGATCCCCTAATAAATTGAAAATGTCTTTTATAACACTTTAAAAATATATTCCCATTGGAACCAGCAGTTGGCATAATGGCTATGTTGCTGGACTCCCACGTAGTCAACCGCAGTTTGAGTCCTGGACCCGGCAGCTTAAACTTACGCATATATATATATATATATATACAAAGCAAATAAACTTGTACAAATCTTTTTTTAAATTAATAAACACTATAAATTAATCTTTTGATGAACAGAAGTTTTTGAGTTTGACTATTTGTCTATTGTTACTTTTGTTGCCCGTGCTTTTGGTATCATCCAATAATCACTGACAAGTCTAGTGTCCCCAATATTTTCTTCTAAGAGTTTTTATAGTTTTAGCTTTCACGCTGAGGTCTTAGATCCATTTTGAGTTAATTTTTGTATATGCTGTAAGGTAAGGGTCCAACTTTATTCCTTTGCATGTGGATACATGGTCATTCAATACCATTTGTTATCCCTAATGAATGCTGCTAGCACCGTTGTCTAAAATCATTTGACCATATATGTAAGAGTATATTTTTGGATTTTCTATTCTATTCTATTTATATTTATGTCTGTCTTTATGCCAGTTCCACCCAATTTGATATTTTAGCTTTGTAATAAGTTTTAAAGCCCCATTTTTCTCTAATTATTCTGTTTTAAATAATCTTGCCAGCACAACATTCTACCCCCTGACCTACTTATTGCAACAGCTTCTTGCTTTCTGATTACTGCTCACTCACCTGGGCACCAGCTTCCTGTGACTTCCCTCACAACCATCCAGGGTTTTTTTTTGCTCCAAGGAGGCGATCACAGCTGGCTTAGAAATAGAAAGTCCTGGTTATAAGAAAAGAAGTTGTGATAAGAAAAAATAAATCACAGGTTAAGATGGTATCTAATAAGATCTAACAGAAGAAAGGAGAAGGGATTAAAATATTCAGATTCAGATGAATTTAGGATCAGAAGAAATTAAGCAAATAGGTGGTAAAATACTACTTACATTTATAAAAGCTTTCTCTTTTTGATATAAAAAAGGAAGCTTCCTGAGGTATTTATTCTCAAATGTTCTTTAATCTTAGACATAAAGTTCTTAGAATACAACTTCCAAACACAAATAATTTAAAAGATTAAGTACTGGGTCAGCGGAAAAGTCATGACTTATTTTTTCTATGTTTTTCTACGCAAAAATGCATCATGGGGGCCGGCAGGTGGCATGGTGGTTAAGGGTGCTGGACTCCCACATGGCCGACAGCAGTTCGAGTCCCGGACCTGGAGGCTTGCTTTCTCACTTTCCCTTTCTCTCTCACTCTGTCCCTCTCAGCTCAAATTAAAATAAATAAATTAATTAATTAATTTAAATAAAATATTTTTCAAAAATGCATCATGACTTGGGAACCAGCAGTTAGCGTAATGGCTATGTCGCTGGATTCTCACGTAGTCGACCGCGGTTCGCGTCCCAGACCCAATGGCTTAGAACTCATGCCGGGTGCATGTGCGTGCGTGCCCAAGATCCGAAGAAGAGAATGGAGGAGAAGGGATTGTGGCGTGACCATCCCCCCTGGGGGTGATTTCTCACTTTCTGTCTCTCTCTGTCTGTCTGGCGAGCGCACGCGCCCTATAGCGAAAACCTCTCAAAAAAAAAAAAATGCATCATGACTTTCCCTATGACCCAAAACATTTGTTATAGAGAATAGAATAGTGTTCATTTGAATTATAAACAGTAAATGGCCATTCATGATCCACCCTACCACTACATTAATTGGGAAAGCAGAAGAGCTTCCCATGTAGAACTTGTGTTTAGTTTTAACTTATGCTAGTGCACAGGTAGGTTTAATACAGGGGAAGTGAAAAAAAAATTTTTTAAAAAGACAAAGTCAGTTTTTTTGGACAGTGTTACTTTAATGTTGTAGAATTCCAATTCTGCCCCTTACTCATCAAAAAAGAAAGTTACGGGGCCAACGAATGGGGTTGTGGTTAAGATGCTGGTCTCCCACATGGCCAACCATAGTTGAGTTCCAAAACTGGCGGCTAGAAAATTATACTAGGCACGTGTGCTGCGTGTCCAAAAATCCCAAAAGAAAAAGGGATTACACATGGCCATCCCCTTGAGGGGTGATTTCTAACGTTCCTTCTCTTTTTTGGTGAGCACACATTACCTTATGGTTAATTAATTAAATAAAAAAAGTTATAAGAAAAACCAGGTCCAACCACAACAGCACAAATGGTGGGGTACTACTGCACAAGGCTGAGGCCGCATGATGGCCCAAATTCAAATCACTAACGTGATGGGCTGGACTCAGTGGCACAAACCTGTAGTCTTGGCTATCTCAGAGGCTGCAGCAGAGGATCATAATGGTAAGAAATTATTCAAACAAAAACAAAAACCTGTTTCTCCTCTCTCTTTTTCCCTTTCTCTCTCTACTCCTTCTCTGCTGATTCTCACTCACACAACAATAAAACGGACCAAATAAACATGTGAAGATGAGGGAAATAAAAAGCACACCTTCATCTTGCTGTGTTCATTTCTAGACAAACAGAAAAATCATCTCTTTTATTCGGAAGCTAGTCCTAAAATTTATAGGAAAGAAACCAGAAGTTCTAACAAGTATACTCTAAAACGTTAGAAGCATTTTGAATTGTTAGATAACTTTACCAAGTGAAACCAAGTTGCTATAGTTCTCCAACATCACATCTTTGTACAAATTCCTCTGCGCAGGATTCAGGCATTCCCATTCCTCCTGAGAAACATCTATAGCCACATCTCTGAATACCACCAACTCCTAAAATGACAAATCACAGTACTATTTGTGAAATTATAAAAAAAAATTTTTAAAGAATAGAGAGGTGCTAAAACAAAACATTGCATGAAAGGAGACAGTATGGTGAACGTACAGGTTAAACCTATGATATAGGTCAAAAAGGAATTTAGTGTGACTTAAGCGGAAGACCTGTATGTTCTTTAGCAATTCAGATTCTACAGACATATCCCCTTGCATAGGAGTAGAAAACTCCTGTTACTCTGTCATGTATAAATTAAGAAAATAAATAGAGGCTCTCAATTAAATTGAAGAGTTGAAAACTTTTTAATCTTTCTGAAATTTCTTTCCTTTTTTATAGAGAGATTTGTGCTATAGGGCATATGCACTCCCAGAGAGACAGAGACAGAGAGACAGAAAGCAAGAAATCACCCACGAGAAAGGATGGCCTTACCACAAACCCTTCTCCTCCATTCTCCTCTCAGGATTTTGAGCACACATGCACACACACCAGGTGTGAGTTTCAAGGTGCTGGGCCCTGGACTCGAACCGCAGTCATGTGGAAGTCGAGTGATATAACAATTACACCATCTGCTGGTTCCTCTTTCTGGAATTTATTATAAAAATCTCCACAAATTTTCTTCATCATTATGACTACTATGCCACAAACATGCAAACTTTCTTTTAAAGAATTATTTTATTTATTGTATTATTCTTTCTTAACGTATTATAGTTGAGACCAGCAGTTGGCATAATGGCTATGTCACTGGACTCCCATGTAGCCAACTGCAGTTCAAGTCCCAGACCCAGTGGCTTAAAACTTACACCAGGCGTGTGTGTGTGTGTGTGTGTGTGTGTGTGCACATACCCAAGATCCTGAGCGGAGAATGGAGAAGGGATTGTGGCGTGGTCATCCCTTCTGGGGGGGGATTTCTCACTTTCTGTCTCTCTGTTTCTATATTTCTGGTGATGTGGGAGCAGACACCCCCCATAGAAAAAACCTCCCCAAAAAAAAAAAAAAAAAAAAAAAACTTACTATAGTCATCAGACAGAGTGTGAGAGGGAAGGTGAGAAAGCAAGCTGCCAGGTCCAATACTCAAATCATGGTCACCCATGTGAGAGTCCAGAGCCCCAACCACTACATCACCTGCTGGCTCCCATGCAAACTCTTTAGTAAACATCTGGTGTAGACTATATTTTCCAAAAATGGACACAGACGTTATCTCTCATTCCGTATGTTCTCCTTCAGTGTAAACTTGACATGTCTCTTACCAATCATTGTGAGTGTCTACCTCCTTCTCTTGAACCTGAAGGGATAACTGTGACTTACTCAACCTATACGGTATGGCAGAAATGAACTATGTTAGTTCTGAGGCTAGGTCACAAAACTGTCTCACACTTCTGCCTTTCTTGGGATGCACTTTCTTGAAATCCAGCTGTAAGGGTCGAGATCGGTCTAACTGATGGAGACGCAGAAAAGACAAAGACAATGCAACTGGAAAAGAGGCTTTTATTCTTTTTCCAGCTAGCTGGGGTCCAAGTTTCTACCCGTCGCAGCGGGCCTTAACAAGGACCCTGAGCCTAAGAAAATGGGATCTTTTATATAGTTCAGGACTTTTCATAGAATGTAACACATACGGGGGGGGGGGGGTGGTCACACAGATTTTTTTTGGGGGGGTGTATGAGAAGCGAGGGTCCAGCTATCACCACCTGCTCAGGTCTAGATAAAGGCTCTCAGCTCAGGGTCTGGATGACCTTGCCTCGGAGGTGCTGGGCCCTCCCGTTTTCCACCTATCTGAGAGTCCCCAGACTCCTAGTTTCCGTCCTTGAGGCCCTAACAAAGTGGGCTCTGTCCTTGAAGACTTAACAGTGTAGCAATTAAGCTAACTCGGCCCAGCATTCCCTAACATGGCGGTGATTAAGCTAACTTGGCCTAACACAGCCACCATGTTTCTAGGAAGCCTAAGCAGCCCATGGAATAGCTCATAGGGAAAGGAATCAAGGTCCCCAAAAATAACACATGGCAACAGCTTGTAAACCATGTGAGGGAACTATCTTAAATGTGGATCATTTAGATTCCAATCAAGTCACCTCAACTGATACCACATGAAGCAGAGGTGAACTATCCCTGCTGAGCCATGCTCAAATTACAGATGTGTAAGCCAAACTATGCTTGTTATTGACTTAATACACTAAATTTGGGGGTGGCTTATTATGAAGCAATAGTTATTGGTGCCATAACAATTGCTCTTATAAATAAGAGTCTTAATCATTCTTTTAAAGTTGAATTTTTGTAGTAACAAAATATCTTAATATTTCTGCTTTTGTACATATTTCAGTTTTTGGAATTATGCCTGAGGGATCTTAACTATATCCTCTACCACTTCTTTCTTTACAACTATGTTCCCAAGTTAGAGAATACGGATATGGGAGACAGATTCGCATAGATGTGACCTAAGTCTTACACATCTTGCTTAGTCTAAAACTGGAGTTCATAATTGGTAATTATTTATTTTCTGTCAAGAGCTTCGATCTTTCTATGCCAGCACCAATCATATCTCCATCTAATCCTAAAGCCTCACAAAGCAAAAAGTCTCTCCACCCAGTGACATCACCTAACGCTAATATTCTTACCATATCAAATTAAAAAACACAAAACTGTGAAGTTCAAAGATTTCCCACATGGGGTCTAAGAAAAGATTCATATCTCGAGACTCCTTCCCATTAAGGATATGTCAAGTAGTGGCTGTTTTTTCTCCCACAATCTTCAAACCATTGTACTCTGTTCTGGTGTCACACAAGTGTCCCTTCTACATGTCTAAAATCTAATGTCATCATTTCATCAGATTTTACCCTGCATTATGTTTCCCTGTTGTAGTGACTGACATCCAGGTTTCTGCCATTTATGAATTATAGCTCCTGGGGAGGCAGGTGGCATGGTGGTTGAGGCGCTGAACATGGCCAACCATGGTTCAAGTCCCAGACCTGGCAACTTGTTGGACTCGAACCGCGGTCGACTACGTGGGAGTCCAGCGACATAGCCATTACGCTAACTGCTGGTCCCACCTGGCAACTTGTTTTTACACTCATCCACACCGCATCTCTCTTTCTCTCTGGTCAAATTAAAAAATAGTAATAATCACAAATAAAATTAAATAAATAATTCCTTTTTTAAGAATTATTTAACTTGGGACCAGCAGTTGACATAATGGCTATGTCGTTGGACTCCCATGTAGTCGACCGCAGTTCGAATCCTGGACCCAGCAGCTTAAACTCATACCAGGTGCATGTGCATGCATGCCCAAGATCCCAAGAGGAGAGTGGAAGAGAAGGGAAAGCAGTGTGGCCATCCCCCCTGGGGGGTAATTTCTTGCTTTCTGTCTCTCTGCCTCTGTCTTTCCGGTGAGCACACACGCCTTATAGCAAAAACCTCTCCAAAAAAAAAGAAGAATTATTTAACTTTTGTTTATTTATTTATTTAAATTTGGCCAGAGAGGGACTGAGTGAGAAAATGAGAGAGGGATAGTGAAAAAGCAAACTGCCAGGTAAGAGACTCGAACCACAGTCGGCTATGTGGGAGTCCAGCATCCTTAACCACCACACCACCTGTCAGCCCCTAAATAAATAATTCTTTTAAAAAAGAACTGTACATCCTAGCTCAATATCACTATTTCGACTACTAATTTTAATTTCCAGTAATTTCATATATCCATACAATGACTCCTAACATCACAGCCTCCCAATTTCCTAATTTCCTCTACTTCTATGATCTTGTCTTCATTCTACTTCACTCACTCCCCTAATTACTGCCATAAATCTTGTCAGCTGTGGGACTAGCAGATGGTATAATAGTTGCATCACTGGACTCCCACATGGCCGACTGTGGTTTGAATCCCAGAATCACAGGCTTGAAACTCATGCCAGGTACATATGTGTGTGTGTATGCCCAAAATTCCAAGAGAAGAATGGAGAAGAGACTGGACTGCAGTGCGGCCATCACTCTCCTAGGGGGGTGATTTCTTGCTTTCTGTCTCTCTCTGTCTCTCTGGCAAGTGCACACATTCTACAGCAAAAATCCCTCCAAGCAAACAAATAACCTTATCATTTGCAATAACTACATCTAAATATCAAGTGTCCTTCTCTCTGATCACCTTCATGCTATTACTCACCCCACTCTTACTTCTTTCTCTTTTTTTTTTTTAAGAGGTTTTGCCATAAGCACATGTGTTTACAGGAGAGAAAGACAGAGACAGAGATAATGAGAGGGAAAGTGAGAAATATCTCCCCAGGGCATGGCCACACCACAAACTTTTCTCCATTCTCCTCCTGGGATCTTGGGCACGCACACGCACACACACACACACACACACGCACACACACACACACCTGGTGTGATTTTCAAGGTACCGGGCCTGAGATTCAAACCGCGGTTGGCCAAGTAGGAGTCCAGCAACGTAAACACTATGCCATCTACTGGCCTCACTTCTTCCTCTTCTTACTCAACTTAAATTCCATGCTCAATTAATCATTCAACTTTATAATTACTCTCAACATGAACTCTCATAGCCCTCTCATTTCATATCTGCTCAATAAAAACCTGAATCCTAGATAAATCCAGCTTTCTTCCTAATCCGTCACTGTACCTAAGTAATTGAATACGGCTAGAAAATATTACCAACCTTGATGAGAAGTTTCTATTTTTATATCTGATTTTACTTTCTTAAATGGATGCAGACTAAAAAGGTAAACACTTAGATGTCCTGGTCTCGCCCTTATCCTTTCAATTTGGTCTCTCACTTGCTGTTCCCATAGGTAAGCAATTTCATAAGTAAATATGAGTATGTTAGTTTTTACACTTTTATAAAAAAGGTAATATAATATATACACTATTCTTTACTTGATTTTTTATACTTATTAAAGTCAAAGGATTTTGCTCTATTAGTGATTAACAGCTTAGTGTGTGTGTGTGTACTGTAGTTGTAGGTAAGGTCTTGCTATGTCATGGTCCTCTTGCCTCAACTTCC